GGGCGTCCATCGTCTCCTTTTCTCCATCCCCCCTTTTCCTTGGAGAGATGGAATTTATTGTTCGTTGTTCGGGTGAGGGCTTGTGAGCGATTGTGGGTATATATTACCGCATTATCTGACCAGAACAAGCAGGCAGGCAGGCGCTAGTGCGTTTGAATAAGATTTTTTTTTATTTTTATCCTTGCTTTCTCTTGGAATCGCGATAAGATGCAAGATCCAAACGCTTTATGCTGTAGCCTGGGCTAAACCTCCCAGGGAGCTGATTTTGGGGCAATTGCAAGTCGCACCTCAACCGCTTTTTATTTCAACTTGAAAGTCTCTGCCGGCTCTCGTTAGATAATGCGGTATATGGTGCAGGACCAGTGCGAGGCGGAGAGTGTGTATGATGAACGTTCCATGCTCGATCGAATTTCCTATGATATTGTGCCACTCTGGTAGGGCAGAGCCCGACACAATGTAAGATGCATACCGCAGGGCACACATCGGGCAACAACCAGGATAACCCTCCGGGTTGTATATCGAAAGGATGGAAAAATATGTTACTCATTCAATCTTGGACACCTCAAAAGGAATTGATATCTAGAATACAATTTAGCCCTCTCCCCCTCACTCTCACAACCCAATGGATTTGATATCCAACTCTTTCCCCTTTCTAATCCCAGAACTTGATAACATTATCTAATCCGGCACTAGCAACCTTACTGCTCTCCTGCGGATGCCACTGAGCTGCGACTACTGGTCCATCGCTGGCTTGAAACTTATGATACATCTTACAGGTCTTCCAATCCCAAAAGCACAGGAACCCACCGGAATCTCCACTCATGAGGAATTGACCGTCGGGGGAAATGTCTACATCAATGGCGTACCCGGCATTATTGTGTCCGCGGAAGGCCTTCTTCCGGTTCTGTCGGAATTTATCCGTCGCGGCGTACACTACAACCTGATTGTCGCCAGACTGGTACGCGACGTACTTGCCCGAGGGATGCAGCGAAGCACGGACCATGGAGTACATGTATGGCTCCGCAATAAATTTGATGGGGACTGGGATGCCGTATTCCCAGGCCCGTAGCGACTTGTCGTCCGAGGTCGTGATGAAGCGGCGGTTTTCGTCCACGAAGGTGATAGTGTTTACGGGGCCGAGATGGTGGTCGTATTCTTGGACTACTTGCTCTGTCCGGGTGTCGAACTGGATGATCTTTTTGTCGCTCATGCCTGCTACGAATTCATGATGGAGGGCGGGGTCAGGGTTGAATCGGATGACATGTGGGATCTTGCCAGTTGTGAAGCGGTGTAGACATTGGCCAGTTTCCGTGTCCCACAGCTTCATGTAGCGGTCGTAGGAAGCTGTTAAGAATTGACTACCGGAATTATTGAAGGTAATATCAGTGACAGCCTTGGAGTGGCCATTGTATGTGCGAAGAAGTTCGCGATCGTGGTAGACGTCCCAAATCTACAAAAGTGTTAGTCATCGGCTTCAGTGCGGAAGAAAATGGGAACAAAGTATACCTTGACTTTGGCATCACTACTGCTAGATAACAGCAGATGGCCGCTTTCCGGGAAAAACTGCAATGCGGTAATAGGCTTTGTGTGCCCCTTCCAAGTGTGCACCAGCTTTTTCGGGATATAGTTCGTCCAGCTTCCAGGTTCCTTCTTCAAATCGATATCCAGGTCCTGAGGAACATGCATGTACGTCCTTCCCTGGTAATCCCGCAACTGCGACCCATGGAACTCCGTAGTCTCCCCACCGATACCTCCAGTATTCACATCCAAATACTCCTTACCGGCCTTATCGATAATAGGATTCGAGGCAGGCGCAGCATACTGCTCTTTGTCCTCCTCCTCATCCTCATCGTCAGACTCCGATAGTGTATTAGCTTCCTTGTACTTTGCCCAAGGACCCACGTAGGCGTTCTCCCCCTCGAGAATTGACGGATCCCCCTTTTTCGTCCTCTTCCGTTTGATCGCTTCTGTTTCTTGCCGTGAGGGTCGTAGTTGGACTACGTCTTTGCCCCCGTGTAAAACAACACTCTCCTGATTCCCAACGAAAGAGCTTCCGTTCGCTGCGAGGGAAGGATCCTTCGCGTATCCCAAGGATACAAATGTCCGCTGCTGGGTACGGAAGGTAGAATCTGAGATTGCCGACTCTTCGGCATATCCTGTGAGCACGTTTTTGCGCTTTCGCGATGCATTCTCGGCCGATAGGAAAGGGTTCGAGGGGCCAAAAACGGGTGCAGAAAGCTGGTCATAGGTCATGTTTGTTGTAATCTTTTTGTCGGTTGACTTTATTAGGGACTGCCGGAGCTGCATAGGGTCCTGTAGGGATATTAGCTATTGTCTAGATTTGGGGAGTAGATTGGAATACTCAACTTCCAGGGAGACATCAGGAGCGGCAATAACTTTTGTAGACGAGGTTATGGCGAGATTGGGGGTTACGCTTGAAGAGGTGCCAGCCCCCTCATCATCGCTCGAAGCGTAGTCCACAAGCACCATGATTGCTGTTGTAGTAGTTGCAGTAGTTGTGGTTGGGTTGGGTCTGAGATCAAAGGTGCGCGAGGAAACTGATGTAAGGTTGGTTGTTTCGCATCCAGTCACGTGTTCAAAATGGCGACCAGGGCTAGGGTTGCCTTAAGATTTCCCAATACCAGTATCGCTTGTATAATTAAATTTATCATAATTTACTGGCAGGGGCATTCAGGGTTGTCCTTTCCTATCGGTAGTCCCTTTGAGGGTCTTTTTAGTAGTTTATTTATAGAAAGGACCATTGAACGGCAGGAGACAGGAAAAGCCTTCACCGGATAATTACTATATTATTATTACAGCAGATGCCGGCACCCGCAGCGAAAGTTTTTTTGTTCGCTAATTTTGGGTGTAGTGTGTGCTTCTAAGGCATGCACGAGCAAAATGATACCAGTCTGTTCTGCGCAGAAAAAGGGTTGCTTGCCAACAGGAGAGACACAGCTACACAGCGAGAAGAACAGGTTTGCTCCACTTGCAATGCTTGAGGAGGCCATTTCGTACTCGTAGGGTTTAGAAAGGACCTGCTAAAACAGACCAGGAAGGGACTATATCTGACAACACCGGTACCTCAGGCAGTCTGGGTGCACCTTTTTGGGTGAAGGATTTACTTGTTCATTTTGATTTCTATCACTCCTAGAAGAAGAAGCTAATTGCTAGAGGAACGAAGGGAATCGGAGGACCGAGAAAGGTAGGCGGGTGTTCGTTCGAGTAGAGAATTGTGACGAAGTGGCTCTCAATCCCCTACTAAACTTCTATCGTTGAAACGCAAGTGATGGAACCGTGTACTATGTGGTCAAGAATTCCCTACTTTGGGAAAAGGGAGAAAAGGGCAGCAAGGAAGGGCCGTTCAACCCCTCTGGGAAACCAAATAAGGAGTATAAAAAATTTAAAAAATACCGGACCAGACCAAAGGAGGCAACTCCAACGATATAACGCTTGGTTCGATTACTAGTATTCGAGTTTATACGCTACACCCGGATCGAAACTTATTCAGTCACCTCCCTAACCACCTTATCCACAGCTGTGGCGAAATACTCCACATTTCGAGAATTTAGGCCGGCCTGAAAGGGGCTATTAGCATTCTGGGTTCACAAGAGAAGGGGCCAAAGTAAGGACATACCATCGAGATACGCCCGTTCTTGGTCAAATAGATGTGGGACTCCTCCCTGAGTCTTAATACTTGCTTTTCGGTCAAACCGGTGCTAGAAATTATCAGTTCATGCTTTCCGAACTTCTGAAAGAGGAAAAAATCTCACAAGGAAAACATCCCAATCTGCTTTATAATATGTGACCAGTTTCCGGGTGTCCCAAGCTCGCCCAATTTGTCAAACAATGCCTTCCTCGTATCTTTGATGCGTCCACTCATCTCCCTCAGATTATCCTCCCACTCCGCAAACAAATTTTCGTCGTTCAGCACCGCACTGGCAATTCTAGCGCCATAGGCTGGAGGATTGCTGATCTCACTCCTCTGTAGGATTGCCAGTTGGCTAGCAATCCTCTTGTTGGAATCGACGGCGGAAGGAGCCGGGGGAGAAATGAAATGGAAACATCCAACCCTCTCTCCATAAAGACCCAAATTCTTTGCAAACGACTGGGCAACGCAAAGTTCGAATCCTTGCTCAATGAAGTACCTAACGGCCCAGGCGTCGTTGGCCAAATCACCGGAAGCGAAGCCCTGGTATGCGCAGTCGAAGAATGGGAAATGGTGCTTCTTGCGGATTACCTCGGCGATCTTGACCCATTGGTCGCGTGCAGGGTCTACACCAGTAGGGTTGTGGGCACAGGCGTGGAGCAAGATAATAGATCCATTTGTGGCAGACTCAAGAGCTGCTTGAAGTCCCTCGAAATCAAGCCCCTTTGTCTCGGCCGAAAAGTACGGGTAGGAAGCGAGGGGGAGGCCAACATTCGAGAAGATCTGGTGGTGGTTTGCCCAGGTAGGGCTCGAAAGGTAGACTTCCTGGTTCTGTGGGCGGGGGTAAAACTTGGCCAGAAACAAGGCTCCAAGATGGACCGCCCCGGTGCCGGAGATGGTCTGCATTGAAGTGACCTAAGCAATTGTTAATGTCTCGTCCATTTAGAAAGTTGAGGCCAAGGGTGGGTCACCCTTGACTCCTGAATTGCAGGCGAATCCTTCCCGAGAATCAACCTGGCGGCGGCCGAGGTGAAAGTGGCCAAACCAGCAATTGGGAGATATTCATGGTTTAGGTTTGGATCATTTGCGAGAATAGCATCCGCCTATGGCAAATAATCAGTTCCCAAGCTTAACACCTCCCCATTCCGAGGCGGGGCACGAACAAACAGACCTTCCTGACAGCCGGCAGGACCCACGGCTTAGCATTGTCGTCACGATAAGCACCAATGACCAGATCAACCTTCTTGTCAGAAGTATCTGCCTTGGAGGCCGTCGAAAGACCAAACAGAGGGTCGGCAGGTGCTAGGGGCACGGCTTCGAATGAGGTGAGAATGGGGGGAGACATGTGTGCGGTGATGGAGGCGAGACGTTCCTTGGATGAGGACATTTTCGGAAAATCGGAGGTGGGTAAATATGATGGTTATTTATTGGTCTGTACGAGTAGCGGGGAAACCCTGCTGCCTAAGTCCACCGGTCATAATCAGGCTAAAGGGGTAACACGGCATGGACAATGTTGCATACGGCACTGTATCTGTGTTTGCCGTGCTATCGATAGGATCAGGGACAGGGGTAAGGTGGGGCGGATGAAGTGACCCCGCCGCTGATCTCCGTGCTGCGTGTTCCTCTTCCTCTTCCTGTTGCAGGATGAGACTCCGGATTTGGTAGAGGAATTTTAGGAGAGAACAAGCACGAGGGGTCTCTAAATTTATATAGGAATGTTGATGTCCGTGGAATTCGGCGTCAGCTGCCCTATTAGGCCGTTGCCGAGGGACCTAACTAACGCCAAATAGCCGTAGCCGCGGGCATTAACTTCGGAACGTTCAGTTTTTGTTGCGGGGCCCACCCCAGGAGCTGGAACCGGGGTAGATTTACAGCACACCAGAGGTGCGCAATCTGGGGCAATGGGTTGGTAATTTCACGTGAATACGTGATCAAATTCCTTTCCCCGGCCCCAGAGTTCGCTAGTCGCGGAAGTGCCTCAAGATCTCAACGGTTGACCCCCCCGTATGTGATATATCGGCTTACGGTGAACATTATCATGTCACTCTTCGGTGGTTTGTTGCAGCTCATTTACGAATGGACCACCAGCATCGAGCAGCCAGGTGGATGGCGGAAACCACCATTCCTTATTTTCCGTGTTTCCAAAGTCACGATTCCACACTCGACATCCTTATTTGAACTACCGGCAGTGGCTATAAACTGCTGACAACCTTGTGCCTCTAAAAATAGGAGGGCATAACACCCGTAAGGGATTATGAGAGGAAAGCTCCTTAGGATTCATGGACCAGATACAGTGAATGAGGAAAAGCGGAGATACTAGAGCCCATTGTCAACTGAAGATACCAAACCATACTCTACAACAAGAAATAACGTGAGGAGAGAGCCGCCACTGGCTCTACCTAATCACTATCTTCGGCCTCCTCGGGACCCCCCTGAGCTCCAACCCCAGTCCATACCTCTGCGACCTTTGCTGAGATAGCCGGTCCGACCTTTTTCCTGCCAAGTGCGCTTGCAAACTGCTTCATGATCATCTCCTTCATCTCGTCCTCACTCGCACACCGCTCATAAGCCTCGACTAGTTCGATGGGGGTGGGGTATGCCCTTTGAATTTGGAGCGCCTTCTCCAAACTGATGCCCCGGACGCACATGAGCATTTTCAAGTATACGTCTCTGAGATTCAGGCTGGCACTCTTAGAGACTAAGGTTGAGAAAATGGAGTAATTTATGTTGAACTGTTTTTCCGGGAATTTGTCGCTTAGGTGCTTGCGAAGGGCTTGATATGTACTCGAGTCAAGGAGGTTGTCTGGGATCAAGTTTAGATCTTTGGTCTGCGAGGCCGGTTAGGAGGGTACGTCGGGATATGAACGAGGGTAGTTTTTACCTCATACTCTTTTGCTAATTTCTTTGTCATTCTAACTAGATATCGTATGGTGTCATCCAGTTTGCCTGTCCTTTTGACGAAAAATCCATTGACAACCTGCGTGGAACTGATGGCGGTATCCATAGCGTCTTGCATTGTTCTGTCGGCCTCTTTAAGTGTGAAATCCTCGATAATATAGGTCACATGTTTCAAACCACTCTTCGCTAACCGGAACTTCTGCTCATGGAACCGTCCATCCTTGATGGAAGATACTAGGTCGTCAAGTCTCTTCCGTTCGACAATGTGATCTAAAACGATTTCACGATTACGACCGCCCTTCTCGCAGGCGATCCACATCGCGTCTCCAACCTGGAGTGGTCGTGTGATTGGGTTTATGCCGCAATCCTTGAGATTGTCTTGAATATAGTCGCGGTCATTTTTCGTGCGAACCTCCCGGTTGTCCAGGAGCAAATGAACGGTGAACGATCCGGCCTTTACTATTTCGGGCGCGAAGTCAGGAAATGTGGGCCTGCTACCAGGAGCAGCATGGGAGGCAGTTATGGAGCCCGCACGGGATTGCGGCCGTGATGATCCGGGTGCACCACAATCGATTGATGTAATTGATGACGCTCGGGACGTAATATTTCCAACTTTGTGGTTTTCCCTACGTGAGACGGTTGGAATATTGGCGCTTGACTTGCTCCTCTGTGTTAGGACAGCAACTTGAGGGTGCTCTGGGGAGATTGTCAAGTCAATTTCGTTGGAAGTGCGAGGTAATGGAGCTACGGATGTTGTCCGAGATCTCGACGGAACTACTGGGAGGCGTCCCCCATCGTTGGTTGGTCCGGTGTTCCGAGTAGACCGCATGGAATTCCTCCTAAGCGTAGCTGCACAATCACCGAGCTCAAAGCTACCCTCAGGTGCCCTAGAATTAATCTCTGGCTCTTCTGATATTCTCCGCAAGGTAGGTCTATTATCCTCCTCACGTCCTTGAGCAGGCCGGCACCGACGACGTGGCGGGGCTACATCACTGCTATCCTCACTTCCGTCCCCGTCCCAAGTATCACGTACGGCTTGTGCAGGGGTCCTCCCGGATCTCGAGTTGGCGACGCTACCTGAAGCGGCCGCACCTCCTCTAGTCGTAGGACCTCCGACCTGAGCCTCCTCCCCAAAACGGCCATCGGTGTCACCGACACCTTCACTCAATTCCTCTTCGGCGGCCATAATCCCCCTCCCAACCTCCTCCCCTCCTTCTGTCAACATATACCTCTTTGGATTGCCACTGAAGTATACGTAGTTGTTGCTTATGAGTGTCCTCATGGAGGCCCAGGCAGTGTAAAACTTTCCCGCCTCAGCCGGAGCATCGAAAGACGTATCGCAGTACGGCCTCGCTCGATCGATGAGCTCCGTTTTAGTGAGCATGTCTCCATCGCCCTTGTAAAGGGCGTATAGGAGCGCATATGCACCGGTGCGTTTCTTGGGGATATAGGCTTTGGTTGGGCGTTTTTTCTTTGGAGGTGGGGCAGCTCCTACCCCTTCTCCATCGGCGTTCTCCTCTCTATCCAAGTCACTACGGGCGCGGCCTATTTGAGACGTCTATCAGATCTTTTAACCAAATCAACGGACATGAGTGGGTGGGAATCTAACGCCGTTTTGCCTTTTTCGGCATCGGGAGGCCATGGGCCTCACAATAGAGTTTCAGGGCTTGTGTTAGTCTCTCACAGAGAACTGGTCCAAGGCCTTTGAGTTGGATCGCTTCGCTAGGGTGTTGAAAGGGTATCGGGCATGCTCTCATAGCTTCATATGCATTTCTGTAGCTATAAATTTGTTAAAATTGGGTTGACTCTAGGGATGCGATGAATATATAAATACGTAGTAATTCCCTTGGAGTTTTGTTTGCTTGCGGTATCATACCAGTCCTTCAGAAACCCAAGAAGGAGCGGGTTGGCGCATTCATCGTCGGCCATAGTTAGCGATGGTTCGGTCGGCGATGGCTCAGTCGGAGATAGTGACCAGCAGATGCACTCGAGTGCAAGTAGACTACAGGGAAAGAGTGGAGCAACCAGCAAATGTGGGGAGACGCGCCGGGCAACGCGATTGCCACGCCGTACAGTGATGTACGAGTACGGTAGGTGTAGTCTAATTAGCATGGGTTGGGTCGCTGGATTAGATGAGATTGGACAAGATTAGATGAGATTAGATAATCTGGTGAAAGAGAAGGATGCGGGAGAGGCAATTGCGTGCTTCGCCGCGGGTCGCACAGGAGAAAGCCGTTGGATCAAGTATTCCTCACTCTGCCGTAGTCTGTGTCACAGGCGAAAATCATCCCTTTAACTGTCACCTCTAGCTGGATCCTGAACTGCTTGCTGTTCGGGTCCTGCATCCTTCCCCCCTCTTCAACCTTTGGACCCTGAATTTCCTTCTCTCCATTCGTCTCCCTTACCTTTACCAGCTCTTGTCAAGGAATTACCATCGCCAATTATTTCCACAGCGCCTTTGATAGACACTATCATCCGCAATGTCAAGCTTCAACAATCTCACTGATTCTTCAACTCCGAAGGCTTTCTCGAAGATTGATATCTCCGGGAATAACTTTCCCCCTTCGCCAGCTCCTTCTACTCCCACAAACGGGAGAAAGTATGCGCTAGCTACGGAACTCGTTTACACCGAGCATTCTGATCAATACGGTGCGTCGTCTGTGCCTATATACCAGGTTTGCCCCCTTGGACCTCACCCATCTGTCTAGACGCTGACCAGCGAGTCTTTGAAGACGGCTACTTTTAAACAGAGATCCGCATCTGGAGGAGGGACATTTGACTACACACGGTCCGGAAATCCAACCAGATCGCATGTAGAGCGCCATCTTGCTAAGATCATGTCTGCAAGCCAAGCACTTGTTGTTTCCTCCGGAATGGGAGCTCTGGACGTGATCACCCGTTTGCTAAAGCCCGGAGACGAGGTTGTCACTGGCGATGATCTTTATGGAGGCACAAACAGACTGCTGAAATATCTTTCCACACACGCTGGTATCACCGTCCACCATGTAGATTTCACCAATGTCGACGCATTGAAAGAGACCTTCACGCCAAAGACTACAATGGTCATTCTGGAAAGCCCAACAAACCCACTCATCAAAGTTACAGATATACCGGGTATTGCCTCATTGGCACATGCCGCTAATCCCAATGCCATTGTTTGTGTGGACAACACTATGCTATCACCCTTGTTCCAGAATCCCTTGGACCTCGGTGCAGATATTGTCTGCGAATCCGGAACCAAATACCTTTCGGGCCATCACGATCTCATGGCGGGTGTGATTGCAACTAATGACCCATCACTCGGCGAAAGGCTATACTTTACAATAAATTCCACGGGTTGTGGGCTCTCGCCATTTGATTCATGGCTACTGCTGAGAGGGGTCAAGACTCTTAGTGTTAGGATGGAGAAACAGCAAGCAAGCGCACAAGAGATTGCAGTATTTCTGGAGGACTGTGGGTTCAAAGTCAGGTATCCGGGTCTTAAGAGCCACCCACAATACGACCTCCACTGGAGCATGGCTCGGGGTGCTGGCGCAGTTTTGAGCTTTGAAACTGGTGATACGATCTTAAGCGAGAAGATTGTAGAATCTACCCGCCTATGGGCTATCAGTGTCAGCTTCGGATGTGTTAATAGTTTGATTTCCATGCCATGGTAAAAAAAACTCCTACTCCAAGTCCTCTGGATTTGGCTAATGTTCTCTCCTAGTCGTATGAGCCATGCCAGTATCGATGCGAAGACAAGGGCGGAAAGACAGATGCCTGAAGATATTATCAGGCTCTGCGTCGGAATTGAGGAGTATCAACACCCCCTCCCCTCTAAAGATTTTATTTCCTAAAAATGCTGACGCCTACCCAGCGTTGGAGACCTGATTGACGACCTCCGTACGGCACTCATCCAAGCAGGTGCTATCACCGTAACCGTCGGCGGTATCAGGGCTGGCGCCCCAGATGGCTCTTTGCTTGGTGGTGGTGTCTCCCTCGCCTCCGCTTCATAAATACATATTAAATGCTTGGTTGAGGGTCACCAGCCCCCCTTCCCTTCTGCGTTTTATATCTTGCTCTTGGGTACAACGATAGCATGTAAATATAGAAGAGGGAGTATAAAAAAGAGGGGAAAAATTATGTCATGTTACTCCTTGGTAGCCTCCGATGTCTATCTCTCTCTCTTCCTCCATGCTTTAGTTGGTTGGGCGAGTGAGTAAGTGTTGTGATTTATAGAAATGGAGGCGTTTCTTTTTTCTTTCTCTTTGCCTTTTTACTTGTCGGGGAGACTACAAAAACAGGTGAGCGCTGGAAGCTGTACACAATCATATATGGACGTAGAAAGGGAAACAAAAAAAGGACACATTTTTTTATTTCCCCCGCTGCAAAAGGATCGTGATTTTTATTGAGGGTAAGGGGCTTTGCGAGAGGGTTCCGGATGTGAGGCAGATGTGGTTTGGGACCAACCAGACCGCTAGGATTTGGGTCTGGATGGGGAATCGCAAGTTAAGCCCGTTTCCGGTATGATGGACCTTTCTAGGCTATATCATATGAGATGTCAATAGTCCTACTCGAGGGGTGTCATACTTTGCTCATTTTTATTTTATTTTTCGTGCCGTACTTTTTTGAATTCCAAAATTGTTACGAATTATAATAGCGGTATCCCACCGCTTGCCTCCATGTTCACATAAATCTATGATACCAACCCACCGGCACGGCACCGTACCGTACCGACGTCAGTGCCCTCCAGCCTTGTGTGGCAATTTTCCCTTTATCACAATATAATGAAATACCAATAGTGTGATATCTAGCAATAGTTAGATAGCCGCTATTGGTGGCTACCAAAGCCATAAGTAAATCGCTTTTAAGGTTAATCTAAAAAATAAAATAAAAACACCCACATTCCCCCCCTTGTAAACCTAGAGTTTTGAGGAAGGCCCCGATGGAGTGGAAGGGAGGGGTGGTTTGCCAGGATCATGGTTTATCACTCGACTGACCTGTGACCAGAGGCAATGGAGGTTCGTTTGGTATGGTAAGTATGATAACCGGACAGGGGCCAAAACATGTCAAAATGGAATCGAGGGGGGGGGGGGGTTAGGTGTGTAGTATGGTATGATAAATAATTACCAGTATTTCGGTATCACCATTGGCGGAAGAGGGGGTAGAAAAAGTATCCGAGAGGAAGAATTTGCTGGTACAGCACACTGGATATATGGTGAAAGAGAGTTTAGTTTCTGTCCGGTTATCATACCAAACGAGGTCTATTGGAGGAACGATGATGTAGGAAATTACGGGCCGAGAGGAAATTATCGGAATGGGGTCCACTAGAAAGTGAAAAAAGAAAAAATTTTGTGGGATAGGAACAAGAAGAATGATGCGCAGAGCGAGGAGTCCAACATGTTCAAAAAAGGGAACGAGTGGGATGGAAAAGTCGGAGAGTTGAGATAGGAAAGTAAGGTATGAAGAAAATGAGCATAGGGAGATTGCTATAACTTAGAGTGCAATCATCCACGTATCATATGTTCAACAGATACTTTGGGTGCCTGAAAGCATTAGTCTTATGCCGTAAAGGGACTTATAGAGTTAGGATTTACCCCCCACCCCCCTCCACGAGACTTGGAACTCTCCTCCTTCGCGCGGATCTATGTTAGCACTTGCTGAGGTTGTAGCATATAATCATTTGTATGGCATGAGACCAACGTAGGACCTGCGCTGAAGTGTTTTTATCCAGGATCCGTCAGGAAGCTTTTTTGCTTAGGGGGGCGAGGTGAGGCTTTCGTCAGTGAGTTTCGACCTTGGACAAAGTTGCCACACATTCTCCTCAGGCGGATGGATAACCCATTACTTGGAAGACAAATCTGGTTTTTTTCTTTTTTTTCTGCCCGATATCCCTCCAAAGGCACAGATACCAGAAGTATGCTGCAAAGGAAATCATAGGCATTTAGAAAGCTTTATGCAATGCTGAGGATGCGAGAATGGATCTTAGGTCCGGTCCCCTCAGACACCGTACTAGAGTGCCCTGCGAGGGGAACTATAAAACCACCCATTGTATTGGATGGAATCAGAGCTAGGAGGGCCCATGAGCACTGGAACAACCTGAGAAAGCCATTTGCAAGCATGCACAGTACCCCAGCCAAACATTTGAACTCGATCATACAGGATTTTTTTTTTCCATCACTCTTGGTAACCAACCAACTTGAGCCTAGTGAGAACTCAATCTTTTCCTCATGAATAGGCCGCTCATGGGACATGTGACAGTAGAGAAAGTATCAGGATATATCATACCATAAATTAGAGACGAACGTCCCTTGTAGAGGATAAGGATGCACCATCCATCGGACTCATCATTGAACCCAACCACTCCCGAAAGTGTCTCCATCTATTTCCCCTTTCAAGTATGATTATCCCCTTGGACTCCAAGTTAACCATACAATTCAAAATCTGATCTGATATCATAGTACGGAATTTTTGCGCGAACCTCTATCCCATCAACGCTGGCAATAAATAATTTCACTTCACGGATTTTGTCAACGTGGAAACTATAAATAAATTTCTGGATCTAGAAAGAAAAAAAAGGTGAAAATGAGTGAGAAATGCAAGGACATATTCACCTACAATCGGAATCGCGAAAGCGATGGGGAAGTGTGAGCATGAAGTGATTACATAAGTGAAATATTTGCAGATAGCGAACAGATGAGATTTTCCGAGCAAGGTAAGGTATCATACTTCGGCAAATCGACAGTCACGCTCTTACAATTGTTATAGGTAAGGGCTTGACTATTATCGTCTTGATTGGTACGATCTGTGGAGTAAGTACAGTAGAACACCCCACCAACCATTCCTTCTTCTCCTTCTTCTCCTTCTCGACAGACAGGCAGACAGACAGCTACCTAGCAGTCCAGACAGATTAACTTAATTTATCAACTTTAGAATTCCCCAGTGCCATCCATCAGAATTTTTTTTTACCACACATCTTTCAATAAACCTTACCCACGGATGGAGGAGAATACAAACTCTTAGGGGTGTTTGGCCCGCCAAATCTGATTTGAAATCGTGATTTGAGATCAGATCTTGGCAACTTTAACT